TTAGCCAATCTGGTGCATCTTGCGCCAGAATATGAAAATTAACTGTTTTGGCTCCAAATTTCGTTCATTTTGCTACTTTTGCTTCAAATGCCAAAAATTGATATACCTGCAACAAAAGGATGAAAATACCATTCTTTAAAGTACAATATCACAAATAATAAGCATAAAATAAATACTTAAAACTACATATTATTTTGGTGTATCATAGGTATCTATTGATACCCATAATATCCATATAAAAAGCAAAAATATCGATGGTTAGCTAGCCTATCCAACATCTGATCTAGAAAAGGGTAAATGAAAGTGATATTTCCTAGTGGCTTAATTTAATTTCCTATAATCGATACATATAAGACACCCAGCTTTGCAATGAAAGTGGTCATTCCAACATCTAATCCATATGGCTTTTTTTACATTGCAACACTGATCTCTAAGAATTTTCCTTAAAATAACACCATCTAGCATTGCAAAGTTTGGTGGCCAGTACTGTGTTGCTATATTTAAATTAAATTTCTCCCTAAAATCACCACATATTTGATTTAATGAAAAAAATAACTAATTATTGTAATAAAAAGTCAAATAACATAAGTTTAAACATATTTTAGCTATGGCTTTACATTTATTCAACCTATTTAAAAATCTTTAAGAAGTCGCTTTTCAACTAATTTCTTAAGAAAATCTTTAAATAATTTTAAGAAGTAGCGAAAACCTCAGACAATATTAAAAAATAAGCCTAAGATAGTGTCGGTTGTGGACAAAGTAAGCATTCAATACACATTAAAGCTAAAATGTTGTCATCATCACCACCTCAACAACAACAATAGTAGTCAAAGCTAGTACTAATGAGAGATTTTTTATGTCCTTTCAATGAAAGGATGAAGAATACTTATTCCCTTAAGTGGTAAGTGATTAGAATGATTTTTAAGAAGATGATGAAAAAATTGACTTTTAGTTACATAAAGCTCGGAAGCCATAAGAGGTAGATAAGACTAATAATCCAAACAACTGACTATATCTTTTGTTAGCTTGGGCTAATGATTTTTGATATGTTTACCTTCAAGGTCTAGTTTGAAAAGAATCATAAATCTAAAGAGCCCATCATATCGAGAGAGCAGCTCATAGATATGATTTATGGGTTTGTGAAGGCCATTTAATGAAAGTCTTTAACCTTTTTTAGTCAATTCAAAATTGAGGAAGGTTAGACTCCTTCATTGTCTCAAATATATAAAAAAATCATTTCTAAAGTTTAACATTCACACAAACATATGAAGAATTCTACAGATTCATCGTCTGGATTGTTCCACTAGTTTTAGAGGGCAACTCAAGAAAGATCAAAACCAATATGCAAAAGAAGAATCTTACACTAGTGGAGACTAAAGACACCAGTGCTTTAGAAATTGAGAGTCCAGTAAAGGGTGTTATCTTTATGGATGGAGTAAAACCTTCATACACCCCCTTGCATATAGATTATGAGCTTGTAGTCTTCTACTTGCTACTTCATTGATGGATTTAGATCATACAAATTAGTCTTTAGTTTTGAGTCTCCTTGTTGTCTTCAAGAGTAATGACCCACTTTTTTTTGGGGTATATAACCACCACAGAATTCTTATTTTCTTACATGCTTAACACCTTAAATTTTATTTTTATAACCATAAGACTAAAATATTTGATATTAAAACACAAATATTACCTTCACTAATTTTTTAAAAGTTAAATACGCATTTTCATGTCCCCCCTTCCCTCACAACAAAATAAAAAACTCTCTTAGTCAGCATATATTTCTCTTAAGACCTCTTATTTGCTTTGTGTGGTTGAATTTGCAATATGGATGAAAGAGAGTGGTTGATTTGTATATAAAAAGTTGTGGGTTGTCTTAGACTAAAAACGTGTTCCGGGTGGTCTAAATGCAAACGTGCGGCCTATGCTTTCTTCCTCTTTGTCAAACTAGCCCACGAGAGAGAGAGAGAGAGAGAGAGAGAGAGAGAGAGAGAGAGAGAGAGAGAGAGAGAGAGAGAGAGAGAGAGAGAGAGAGAGAGAGAGAGAGAGAGAGAGAGAGAGAGAGAGAGAGAGAGAGAGAGATGAGACCAAAGAGCACCTTATCAAGCTCCGGCGGATTCCAACCATGGCAATCTCCAGTACCTTATCTCTTTGGAGGTCTGGCAGCAATGATGGTGCTCATTGCCATGACACTCATACTTCTTGCCTATTACCAACACGAATCATTGGCCGTGGAGAGCCGACCGAAGAAGTCTGAGATTTCTACGACGGAGATGGAGCGGGGTGTGGTGGTCATCATGGCCGGAGGTGAACTGCCATGATGACATTAAACTAAGGGTAATAGTTTAACGGTTCTTCTTTAAGAGAAAATTTTGGTGACATTCTTATTAGTTGGTTTAATTTGTCGATTAACGCAAATACTTGTAATGTTTTTTGTAATAGCTATTGGAACTTTGATATTTTTATAAATGCTCATGGTAATTTCATTAATCTTATTAGTAAAATTACCATTTCTCATGGTTATTCTTGTTTCTGGAATAATGATAACATTTACCATTACAAGTTTGTGTATTTCTACGTATATGAAACTTTTCCTTGTGTGGATTGGTTTAAACTTATCTGGTTTAAAGGTTATGCCATAAAATTTGCTTTTAAAACTTGAAAAATTATTCATAAATGTCTAAAAACTTGTGATATTCTCAATTTAAGAGAGATGAACATTAATAATCTTTGTGTTCTTTCTTCTAATAGCATTAAAAATCATGATCCTCTCTTTTTTGAATATCAACTTTCTCACTATTTTATGAATAAATGTGTTCTTTATGGGTATTTTTTTTATTGCTTCTAATAATTTTCAAGTTTTATATCATTCTAAAAACTTTTTCCTATAAAATATAGAGGAGATTTCATCTTCTTCCTTTGCAAATTACAACATATTTTATATTGACTGAAGAAAATTCTTGAACATTCAAAAATAAATTTACTCCTATTTATTCTATTATTGGTAATATTCATTAAATAAATTTTTTTAAAAAAGTAGTAAATGAAAATTTAAGAGAAATGTACCAAATTTTATAATTGATTTTTATGGTTTCAATTTATGATCTTTTGTAGTTCTTAGCTCTTTTTAGTTTTTGTTTTTCCAAGTTTTCGTACTATTGTCTATTTGCTTTATGTTTTCACATTTTAGTCTCTTTATTGTCTTTATGTTGGTTTTTTGTTCTTCTTGTTTTTGTTTGAATTGTTTTTTGGTTGGTATTGATAATGTTCTTTTCTATTTCTTTTTCCTTTATCATATTAGCTTTGTTTTTCTTAAACCATTATGGATTTTCTTTTCTTTTATGCTTTGTATCCTTCAAGTCCCTTCTTTTCTTATGGGCTCTTAGATATATTTTTTAAATATTTTTTTCCTATTAATGCTGGTTGTATTTTTTTTTTGATATGTTTGCCTTGGTTTTATCTTTATTTTATTGCGAGCTTTAATATTGATCAGATACTATTCTACGATCTTTACTTTATGCTTTGATTTGGTTTTAATATTTGATCATCTATTGCCTCTATTAAAATTAAACCATTTTTCATAATATATTTTTATATTCTAAATTTTGGATGAAATTTTAATATTATATATGTATTTTTTCTGATCATTGTTTCAATTCTTTTGTTATTCTTCATGAGGTCGGTTGATGAGGTTAATTGTTTCTGTTTGGTTGCAGGGAATGGCTTTGACCTTCTCTCTCTCTCTGGTGTTTTTTTTTAGTGTTGTTAACAATTCGTTGTTGCTATTAGTGGTTGTGGGTGTTGTTATTTCTCACTGATTAATGGATGTGATAATTGCTATTAATGGTTTGTGGCTGTTGCATTTATTAGATTCAGCGATCATGCTATTTTTTGATCTTCTTTGTCCCTCATTGTTATTTTGCTATTAGTGGTTGTTCTATTGTTCTTTTTAATACTTGATCTTCACTTTTTGCTGAGTTTTGGTATTAAGCTTTGACGAACGTCATCCATTATCAAAATTCAACCTCTTTTTGAACATTTTTTATGTATTCGATAGTTTGAATGAAATTTTAATACTTTTTTATCAAGTAAGTTTTGAGCTCGGTTTTTCATTATTTTCTCCTCGTTAAATTTTAACTGTTTCTTGATTATAATAGTAATAACACCCCCAAGTCCTAATTGATCTAGGTGTTAATGAGTTCAACCATATTTTAGCCCTACCCTCAAGGAAAGGGAAAAAACCTAATTCTAACAACACCATTTGACACGTCATTATAACGAAATGGAGCGCAAAGTTTTAGAAAACTTGCTAAGCGTAAATTTGGATCCTCAGATGGGGTTCCCCCAAATTGGTTGTTCTACACCATTTGGATAATAATAGGCTTCAATTCAAATGTATTAGCTTCTAAGATAAGAGTTTGAATACTTGGGTGAATTTCATCTGTCGTGGGATTAGTGTAATCCCTTGATGGTCTATGCGTGTTATGATTTTCATTAATTGGTATTTGGTTATCAAAATTATTTTGTTGAATGTTCTCCATTTCTTCTATAAGTTCATGAAGTCTTTTCTAATTTCTAATTTTCCTAAGAAATATTATAATAGTAAGTTTTGAGCTCGGTTTTTTCATTATTTTATCCTCGTTAAATTTTAACTGTTTCTTGATTATAATAGTAATAACACTATTGATCTCTTTCCTCACTTGTTTTTGTTTGTTTCTTTTGTTGGCTGTTCTTTTCTTTGTTTTTTTTTGCAGGTTTATCACTCCCAAGCTTTCTTTTAGATGTTGATATTCTCAAGTATTGTTACTGGTGTCAATTTATAGATTTGTTGCTATATCTATTATAGGGTGTAGCTATTACTGTGATAGTTGGTTTTCTTTATGTTTGTTTTTGTTGTAATTTTTATTTTCTTTTTTTTATTTTTATTAAGAATTATATTCTTTCTGTAATTTAAAACTCATTCTTTTGTTTAATTAAATTTTGGACGTAGCCTCACATTACATACATATAAAAAAAAATGATTGTTCGTCCCGAGAGGTCGAGAGTCGAGACTGTTTGCCCGATTTGAGAGATTTCAACTCGTCTTTTTATTAGTTTTTAAGATAGCCCCGTAAGTACTCGTCCATTTGACGACGGTGAGCGTGGTGATGGAAAGGGAGCTGGCGACGCTGGACAAAGGCGCGCAATGCTGCAGCTGGAACTACTGTGGGCAGCGTTTCGCTGTGGGCTACGCCGATGGCTCCGTCGCCATCCACAATTCGGACTCCTCCATTTCTCGCTCCTCAAAATTCATGGTCAGTTCCGTCTCTCTCTCTCCCCCTTCTCTTTTTAACTGCGCTTCTTCCGCTTAAACCCTAGATGTATGAAGCAAATGCTATGTACGCTTAGTGTTTTGTATATTAAAGTTAATGCAAGTTGCTTTTAATTCGAGTAAGATTTAGTAAATCCTGAAAACTGTTTGATATGACATATGTTCGATCCGGCTAAACCTCATAAATTGTCTGGCCATTTGCTTCAGATTAAATGAATATAAAATAAATCGAGGCACGGTGGGTGGCAACTTCAACAAATGTCTGTAATTTTGATTTGGTTTGAGTTTTGCTGGTTTTCTTGCAAATTAGCATGAACCCATTTGTTTTGTTTGGTATAGGTTCGGGGTTTGATTAATTGAAAAAAAAAAAATCCAAGTTGAATCATGCCATACCTACGTACATTGAGCCTACTTATGTGTTTGAACCATATAATCAAACGTTAAATGTTGATCCCAAATTTATAGTTTAGAAATTTATTTTCTACTACTAATACATGTGAATTCAAATCAAATTAAGCCAAACCCATTTACTTCTTGCTAACCAACCAGAGTCACAGTTTTACTTTTTAATTCAAAATGAAAAGACCGTTTTATTTCAAATTTTATGTCAACTTGGTTACAAATTTCAATTATGATGTTTGTTTCAGTTTGATTTCAAATCATGATTAGTTTGGATTCAAAGTGCAGATTCCTAGTTCCTTCATTGAATTAATGACAATTGATTCCAGATTAGCAACCCATATAGCTGGGGCACAATTATATATTTTCCTTTAAATTATCAGTAACTTACATTTTGGTATATAGTTCTGTAACTCCAATTCTTTAGAAACAAATTTTCAATTTTATTGCATCAATTTGGGCGCTATGTTAGTTGACATATTTCTTTTGCAATGCTTTACAATTTTGGTGATATCTATCCTTGTATGATTGTTTGATGATTTTGTGTGATATATTTCTATAGGTGCATGCAGATGGCATTATGAATATTATTTGGATTCCTCCAGAATTTGGTGATGCTATTGCCTGTATTTGTGTTGACGGAACATTGTCCTTGTGGGAGGAAGTTGGAGATGGTCATCATTTAAAAATTTGTTTTATTTGTTTGAGTTTATGCTAGTTCACATTATTACCGTGTAGTCGATTCATTATGTTTATCTTGAGAACTTGAATTAGTGATTTTATCTGATTTATGGTTTTCTATCTGGTTTGGCATTTTGTAATTTTAAAAGATACGAGCATATTGACATCTTCGAGATTCTTTTTTCCAAAATTGTATAAAGGTGTTAGGACACTATAAATATAACTCATTCAGTTTACTTATGAAACTTAGCATACCGTTGGTCATGTTATAACTGTAACCTGCATTTGCAGTATGTTGCGCTACAAACATCTGCAATCCATTGATGAAGTTTGGGAATCACAAATTAAGACAACAGTAACAGATGCTTATGAGAGCTGTATTAAACAAATGGTTTCTTTCAGAGCATGATAAACTTGCCTGCAAATTTTTTGGTGAAGTTAGATTTGAGCCATTACTGGAATCTATCTTTCTTATTTTCGATAAATTAAAACATTCCACGATGACCTTTCCTTTTGCATCTATGTTGTGTGTTGTATGCCAAACTCACTTATTGGCTATGGTAGGGTATATGCAATTTCAGGGTATTAAAATTTTGTAGGGATGCCATTATTGTTGGTGATATCAGATCAGGCTTATTACTGTAATCTCTTCTGCTTAGTAATGAGTAGACTGATTTACTAAATAATGGAAGAAAATCTTTTCCAATTTCCACTCTATTTGTGTAACTTGTAGTATGTTTCTCTTTGTCTGGCAGGCTAGTCAGTTGAGCTTTAACTGTGGTTAAATTGGTGATGAAATGGTTATCCTAAGTTAGAATCTGTGAGATATCTCATGCGTTCTTTGACAAGGGGTTCCTATTAAAATATGACATGGATTTATGAGTATCTGGACTCTTAGGTCTCAGTTGATTTGATAACTTTAAAAGTGAAGAAATTAAAATAAAAATAAAAAATAAAATGAAATGGAATTGTTTAAGAAAGTGAATTAAAATTAATTTCCATGTGCTTGTTTGATTGAGGAGAAATGAAGTGAAAAAAATATTTTTTTCCTTGTGTTTGGTTGAGAATTTGACTTTTTCATTTCTTATAAGGAGGGTGCTTCAAAGTCTTAATGATGATTCAATTATTCTTTTTTTTTTACCAATTTTTACTTGGGTTGGGTATGGAAGTATTAAATAAATTAAATATTCTATTAATTATAGTTGAAACAAATTCCTAATTTGAAATTGTGAAACAAATTACATTTGCATTCCCTAGAAGTTTATTAAATCAGACATGCCTCAAAGGAGGGTGTGTGTATAGTTCTGAAATAAAATCTATTGCATGTTTTGTTGTTCAAGAGGTGTACAGGTTGTCCAACTTTTAATGAAGCCAACTAATTGTCTTTTTCCCATCATCTACCTTTTGTACACATTTTTCTTCTAATCTAGGATTTGATATTTTAATGGTAAAGCTAAGTCCTTTAGTAAAGACTGATCCCTTAATATGATATGGACAGTCTTTATCCACCCAACGTATGACATAGATTGTTAAAATTATAAACTCCTTCTTACTTCATTTTTTTAGTGTTCTCTACAATTTTGTTTAATATCTTTAGCTTGTATTAACTGTTGATCCATTTTAAGATGCTCATTCTTGTTCATTAACTTCTCACTTTTCTTTAGATGCCCATTCTGTTACATGGAAGCAATGTAAAGTTTTTGAAAGGAGTAGTCCTAGAGTTCTTGAAGTACAATTTGGACTTCCAACTAGATACTTAAAAATGGTCAGCTATTAAAATGATTTCATTTATTGATATTTATGCCTCATTCTCTTTTTAATTAATTTTGATTTTTTTATGTGAATTTTAATTATTTCTTGATTTTTTTTTTCATTTTATTTATGCATCAGGTAATTTAGGTTGTGTGATTTAAGTCATTAATCGAAGTGTTGATATAGTTGCTAATTGCCATCACTAGTTTCTTTTGTATTGCATTTGCTAAGAATTACCTCAACTTGTGGTCTCATTAGCATTTAAGAGAGATTTTTGTTAGCTTCTTGTAAAGTTGGTTGTTTTCAGGATGCAAAATATATTCCTGGATTCTTTTATGTTTCAATGGTCATGCTTTAATATGGGCTTGAGACTCCATCCCTATTGGAAGAGCACTGTTGAGCTTGGATATTTCTCGACCTTACTAAGTATGTTGGTGATTGTCTACGCAAATATGCTTGCATACATGACTATCATGTATGGGCAAATAACTTGGGAATAGTTATAAGCCTTCTAAAGGTCCCATAGCTCTATTGTCTGAAGGATTTATAAAGTATCTCAGTTTAAATAGCCTTGCTGTATTGAGCATGATTATATACTTTCAAATCAGGGTAGAGCTTGTTATAATCATGTGCATAAATTTGTCAGCTTATTTGATATTTGTGGTACTTTTCCATGAACCTTGGTTGTGATAGTTGTGGATCTTGCTGGTACTTATAGGTTTCATTATCCAAGGCCATCCTCTAAAGACTCTGGTTGGAATCATATAATGATCAAGCATTTTGTGTTGAACTTAGATTATTTTAGGGCAAAACGGCTCAATTTACTGGATAGCTTAAGTAACTTGAGGCAATGAGCATGCTTTTGAAGCTATGTTTTAATAAGAACTGGTTTCCCAATAGGGGAATGTGTGTTTACACGTGCGTTTTGATCATGTTTGATTTGCTTGAGGCTTATGTATTTGAGGATTATTTTAGTCTTTGCAAGCGCATTGGTATTTTTTCATTTTTCCAAATGACATTATGTGGTTTGTGGCGCAGTAACACACTTATTGAGCCAAGAAACATTTCTTAATGCCTTTGCACATTAGTAAAAGTACATAAGGCTTTGTAGGAGGTTATGATTGCCTTAGAAATTTTCTAAATAGCTTAGGAAAAGTATATAATGATAACACATTCTTGAAGGTGAATGAAATTATGATGTATTGGCAATCTTTGTGAAGATGAATGCATTAATCTTTTTTTGGAGCTCACACGAGGTCATGATTTAAACTTGTTATAATTTTCTTCATGATTTTCAAATTTTTTTCCTAGTTTTTGGAGTTTTTTTAACTAAGTATTTTAAATTAATTAATAATTCTAGAAAATATGAATATTTCACTTCTTTTTTGATGACACGAGGAATTTTTCTAAAATTTATGAGATTTTTAAGAAAACTTTATATATTTTTATTTTTTGCAATTTAAGTCTTCTTAAACATATTTTATATATATTTTAAAACTATTGAGTAATGTAAACTTAGGTTAACACCTAGGATGGCAACTTGCCATTTTGGCATTTGCCATCCAATGAACACAAGTTTAGGTTTGCCATGTGGCATGGTGTGACCCATTGGAGTTCTCTTGTATTGATTGGGCCACTGATTTGACAAGCACTTTGTTTGCCACTTAGTTTTTGATGTGGCACTATGTGGCACTTGTTTTCCTTATGGACCTTGGTCAGGTAGAGTATAGAGGCCACAATAATTTATGTCTTGATTAGGGATGATTAATAGGGTATCAATTTGATTAATGGGTTGGATTTACATTTCACTTGACCCAAGTATACTTATCTTGAATTTGTCCCATTTATTATATGGGCTAGAATATTACTTGGGCTTGCTTGCTTAATCCATTTATTATATGAATTATGTAATTGTTTAGATCAACATGATTCGGTTAATTCAAATATGAATTGCTTAACCTCATTAACCGGTCTTGAACTTACTGAATATGAACTCGAATAATTGCGCACAACCCCGCTTCTCCTTCCATTGTTTCGCAGCAACAACAGGATCGCCACATGCAAAGACTTACAAAACTCCCAGCGATCACACTGAAGCCTTCTCCCTCGTTTTTCCGCACTATAGGGCCGCACGTCTCCACTATTTTGTCCTTCTATTCCACATGCAAAAACACCTCCAATCATAACCGAAACCCGCCTCTCTTTTGTTTGTGATCTTCCAAGTTGTCATCACTCCTAGTCTTAGATGCCACTGGACTTTTCCCTTTTGCCGCAAGCTTTATCAGCCTTACTCATACAATGCCAATCTCCCAGTCGTCTGTGCCTCTCCCTGCATCGAAAGCTCTACTCCACTTTAAATCCTAACAAACACTTAATCGCTTCCCTCTTATCCGAGCTGCTCCTGCTTTTCACTATTCAACCTTAATTGACACAGTAAAGGAAACCCATGCCTCACTACCCTAACCTGTGCCCCTCTCTGCGCCACCTTTCTCTTAAAACCCAACCTGAGCCCAGCTCATCGATCTCATATTTTCCTTGCACCAAGCCTTTGCATCCCCACTTTATTTTTTGCTTTACTTGTTATATATTATATATTATACATTTTATGAAAAAAAATCAGAAAATCAGGAAAATTTGTATTTTATTCCTCTGTTTTAACTTCATTATCATTGCTACTTTGCTCGTAAAAGTATAACAAGTTGGGATAGTGGGAAAATTTTCCTAAAATATCCATTTGTGGAAGCTCAAGTATTTGTCGTTGGGAATCCAGTACCGTTCATTGAAATTGCAGACTTGTTTGAAAAATTTTATAAAAATCGGGATATTTAAGCAACTTGGGAAAACCTGAGTACCTGTTCGAGGAATTAAGTACTGTTCACGGAAATTAAAGTGCTTATTCAGAAAAATTTGCGCTTGTAATTGTCCTTTCTGCATGTATACTGAAGGCCTATAACATCTTTAAGATTGTATGCTGAAATACACATTTTGCTCCCTGACCGCATTGTCTCATGACATTGACTAGCGAGTCTTTTAAGACAGTTTTGAAGGTTGCCATTCTCAACAGCAGTTGATGCTGAGAGGTTGCTAAATTTTTGGGTGAACTTGGACTTGCAAACTAATTTAAAATTTGGACTTTGTGAACTTATAAAATTGCTTAAAATTGAATTATTTGGACTCTTTAATTTGTAAATATTCAAAATTTGGACTCTTTAACTTGCAAGTAATTTGAAATGAGGATGTTTTGAATATGTAAATGATTCAAAATATTAATTTTTGCCTTCTCAAAGTTAAACTCATTGGATTTAAAATCACTCCAAAATTTGGGCTTTTTAAAGTTAACTCTTAGGATTGAATCATTTGAAGTTATTAAGATTGACCAAAATATTAAATATTTGTGCTTTCAAAAATAGCTTAATTTATTTGAGGGCTTAGCTTAACTTGAAATTGGAATATCAAAATTCAGAAGATTAAGCTTAAATTGAAATTGAAATGTTCTAATTTGAAATGCTATGTTTAACTTGAAATTGAAGCTCCATCAAATATGCAATTCCAATTTGCAAGCAGACAGAAGACAACCCTTTTTGAAGCACAAAATGAAACCGTGCATGTGATCCAATAATACAATGTTCAAGTGAAATTCCATTGTTTCAAATGATTTAAATCTTGCATAAAATTTAAGGCTATTTTAATTCAGATAACATACTTCAAATTCAATAATTTAAATTCTTTCAAGCCATGCAAATGTATCGAAACAGCGAAGTATTGATTTATATTAGCAAAGTTTGGAAAATTTCAAGTCTTGCACTTGCATTTCAAAATTCTTCATACTTGTAATATACTGTTTCAAATATATGTGTACAATGTATTAAGATGCATATGCATTAGCAAATTCACCGCTCTCAATGACTTCAATTAAAACTCTAAATGCTTTTACAAATAGCTTAGGAATGTTGCACAGGTTAAGACTAAACTTGTACTCAAATAATTCATATTTTGAAAAGCAATCGATAAAGCCTTCTTGTCTACTCGATACCAAATTGACATAGTTATGGCTTTTTGTCATTTTAAGTTTCTTGATGAAGAAGGGTTTTCTTCATCGCTTTGATCTGGAAGGTTACCGTTGCTATTGTTGGTCACTTCCCCATGGTGCTTTCTTTCAAAATCAACGAGTCTCCATTTTAATTGAAGAATTTCCTGTTGCATGTCTCCATGGTGATTTCCTGAACATCTCATCTAGTGTTTCTCTTTGGCAACATGGCGTCTTATTGGCTCTGATATCAAATGTTACTGTTTAGGCTTTTAGAAGGTGTGATAAAACACCAAAAGACATTAGGGACGTTATGGGATTTGATTAGGTCAGTAGGAGAATGGATGTTAGTTGATAATGAACACGACCAGCGATGGGTCGGCAAATCGGAAGTGCAGAAAGGACATATACTTGTTGTAGAAGCAGATGATTATAACTTTGATAAATGTCGGGTCAATGAGGTATCGACAGCAAGCGAGTTCCACTATCTATTATAGGGCAAGCTACAGACATACCACCACTTGCAATAGAAAGAGGCTATAGCACTTCGGAGAGCAGAAAATTAGAGAAATGTTTCTCAATTCATAAAATCAGCAAAAATAAATATCCAACGACCCTAATAAAACATTTATAAAAAATCCCCTGATAGAAAATACTTAATTGAAAATTAGGAAAATAGGAAAGAATCAGAAAAGAAAGAAACAAGAGATGAAAACTTGCAAATAATGGAATAAACAACTAAAAAGGAACTCTCGACCTGTGATTCTTGGGATCACGAATGCCCCACATATCATTAGAAGTTCCCGTGTCCAGCATCACTGTTACAGCTTCTTTGTCAAAGTATTTAGTGAGCTCAACATAGGATGAAAATAATTGCAGATTGCAGTTGTAGGGATTGCAGTCCTCAATCATTAGTAGCTAAGAGGTTCAATAACAAGTTAACGAAACATTATTTTGGCCCTTATTGTATTCCTGCTAGTATTAAT